AAAAATATTACTCGCATAATACCTAATTAAAAATATTACGCGCATAATACCTAATTAGAAAATATTACTCGCATAATACCTAATTAAAAATATTACTCGCATAATACCTAATTAAAAATATTACGCGCATAATACCTAATTAAAAATATTACTCGCATAATACCTAATTAAAAATATTACTTGCATAATACCTAATTAAAAATATTACGCGCATATACCTAATTAAAAATATTACTCGCATATACCTAATTAAAAATATTACTCGCATAATACCTAATTAAAAATGTTACTCGCATAATACCTAATTAAAAATATTACTCGCATATACCTAATTAAACATATTACTCGCATAATACCTAATTACAAATATTACTCGCATATACCTAATTAAAAATATTACTCGCATAATACCTAATTAAAATATTACTCGCATATACCTAATTAATAACAGATTCTTTGCTATTGATGGAAGGGTAAATTCGTAACTATTTCAGTCATTAAATAGTAAATCAGTTATTTCTGCTAGGGGTTTGGGCATGACCTAATTGTTAGTGTACCCAGAATGTGAATCCAGTGACTCATGGCTTACAGCTCGTTTCGACAAAACGCGTCCTTCACTTTGAGGCCGTGAGTGCGCTATGTTTGTTTGTTTTATAAGTAAGCACAAAGCTACACAGTGGGCTATCTGTGCTCTGCCCACCACGGGTATCGAAACCTGGATTCTAGTGTTGTTAGTCCGCAGACATACCGCTGTGCCACTGGGGGGGGGGGGGCGAGTGCGCTATGGAAGTAACCGTAAGTCTCATTTATTGGATTAGACAAGAGCAACACAAAAGTTGGCGATAGATCTTGTTGACTAAGTGCCTTCCCTCTTGTCTACCAGTTCAAAATTAAGGACGACCATACACAGATAACCCTTTTGTAGCCTTGCGGGAAAATTGTGAACCGAACAAACAAACTTTCTTCCAACGAGACAAAGCTTTGTGTCAGAATATTAACATTTAGGCCTAAATACATTGGAACTGTCTTCTGTTGATTATGTCCAATAATCAACTTTCTTCTGATTTAGCTTAAATGTATTTTTTATTTTTCAAGATAATTCATTTTTAACAAATCTAAAATTATAACTCTAATTATGCTTTAGAGGATGAAATCACACGTTAATCTAGTAATTAGTGGATAATAATTTCTTAATGCGGATTAAAAGAAAACTAACGAAACGGTAACTAATTAGGCTTCACCTTATCTTGTACTTTTATTCTTAGGTAATTTTTTTAGGTTTATCAATCGGTCCATTACCTCAATTTAACAGCTTAAATACCAAAACTATCATTTAAATTCCAACTCTCAAAGGATCATTGCCGTCTGTCACAGCCAGAGAATCAAGCTGAATGTTATTTTCTCAATAAAACTTCACCTTGATGGTAAACAACTCCACATAACGGTCATATTTAACAACTTTATTCTTGATGTCTATCCTTACATATAGACCTTCTAAAAATCGTCATTCTCGCAATATTTATATAGAATATTAAAGATAGAAGCAATTATTACATAATTAAGAGAACGAGGGACAGTTTTCTTGTCATTTTATAGTTTAAGTTAGACTTGATACAAATATTGTTAAATATATTCATTGACAATTATAATTAAGCATAATTAGCCTTAATTATAAATAACAAGCATCCAAAAAAAAAAGTGTCTCAATGACCACTCTGCCTTAAATCATAAGTTACGTACCCTCACTGCTGGCGGTGTTTTCGACCCTTATCCAAAGAAGACCTGACAAGACTGGACCTGCTAAGCGAATTACTAAACATCGAAATAGACTTGTCACATGTACAACTTTATAAACTATGCCTATCACATTTGGCCAATGTAATTATTATAATGTTTAAGGAATTTAATGATAAGTTAAGTTATCCTTAATCTGTCAGATTCTATAAGTAACTAAAATATATAGGGGATTAATTATATTTAATACTCTAACTTACTATAAACTATTGAAACACATATAAATTTACTTGTTATTTTTTTTATTTGGCAAGTTCCAGCTAGAGGTATACAGAACAATACCACAACTTGTGTGAATATATGAACTCTCAATACCACAACTTGTGTGAATATATGACCTCGCAATATCACAACTTGTGTGAATATATGACCTCTCAATACCACAACTTGTGTGAATATATGACCTCTCAATACCACAACTTATGTGAATATATGACCTCTCAATATCACAACTTGTGTGAATATATGACCTCTCAATACCACAACTTGTGTGAATATATGACCTCTCAATACCACAACTTGTGTGAATATATGATATTTCAATACCACAACTTGTGTGAATA